CCACGTACAGGCTCCTGCATATGTACTGCTGCTTCTCCAGCGGTTGGAGCTAAACGGAGCTGTCTCTTGTGGACAGACAATATCCGGTGAATATTGCGTGTGGACAGAAGCTTTTTTGCGTTTGCGTTAATCCTATGCGTTTAGCCGTATGCGTCCTCGTGGGGCCGGGGCCTAATACACACTTGTTCGTACATGTGTTAAAAATAGGTACGGCTCGTGTTAAAGGATTTTATATCTGGAATTAATTTCATATCAGAGGGTAATGTGTTCCAAAGTTGAGAACCCTTTGCGGTAATAATTTAAAAAGACACAAGGAGAACGCTCTTTAAAAAAGAAACAAATAAATGCATTAAAATTAAAATACAGAATCTAATTTATGAATGAAAAAAACATACTAATTAGAGTAATAATAATTACAAAAGTAGCAATAATAGTGTTACTTTATAACTTTGCCTACAAAATGTACAAATAAATGGAGTGATTCCCACCCACTCTTTAAGAAGTGACCCACATACATTTGTATTGTTGACATTTAAAAAACAATAGCGGCAGTAGGCAGTTTACATTTCCAGAATTCATGACTTAAAAATTCAAAGTCATACATTTTTTTTTTTTTTTTACAACTCTTTTTATTTCATTATAGTGTACAGTAATCGATGCCATTTCATTTATATTGTAATATCACAGTACCACAGTACACTCATTACACTCCCCCCTCCCTCCCTCCACCCGCACATGCCCACACGGACAAAACCAAAAATAAATAAAAATATATATAAATAATAAAAAAAATAAACCCACATCAAAGTAAAACAAACAAATAATTATACAATTAATTATACAATACAGCGACAATATAGACANACGAGAACGTGACGTCATATTTACACAAGACGGATCCTTTCTAGCCATAATAAACGGAGCCTCTCTTTCCCTCCCCCTCTTCTGACAGCCCAGAGCTGGGTTATGGCTAGAAAGGATCCGTCTTGTGTAAATATGACGTCACGTTCTCGTTGTAACTCGTTGGAGCGACTCGGAAACACATCTACAGCAGTAACATGATGCAACATACACATTAATGCAGCAGGATAATAGTAAAACACTGAAAGGGAACATTTTATTGCACCAGGAGCTATCTTGGGACTTTTACTGCGACAACGTTGACTTGCCTGTGAATAAAAAATAAACCATAGTGTTGGTGATCTGCAGTGTTGTCATTCTTCTTTGAACAGCAAGACCGCTAACACCCTATTTCAACAATCACACTCCCTGTCATTGACATCGTTAATAGATAGTTTAGCTTCTCACCATCATTTGCTGATCGCCCACTGATGTTAACGATCGTAACTGAAAGGCTGCCTGCCAAACGCAAACATTCAGCCACGTGACTTGCAAACTATCACGAGAGTTTTACACTAGACGGATCCTTTCTAGCCATAACCCGAGGGAACCGGGCAGAGCTTTTCGCCAGTCAACGTGTGTTAAAGTTGAAATCTTCCGGACAAAATTATAAAAGTGCCGATCAAAGGTCTTCTTTGTTATTTATTGAGCTTTAAAACAAATGAATAACGAATCTATATAATATAATAATAAAATACATGGAGCCTCTCTTTTTCCTCCCTCTCTTCTGACANAACTCGGTCTCCACAGACAGACAAAAGTGGGCAAGTGTCACTTTACTCGTCTTTTTCTCGTTCTTTTGTGTCTCATGATGCGCCTCCCCTGAAGCTCTTTGAAAACTGAGACGGTACGGCCACACAAGGCCGACATGGAAACGCAGACAAAGATAACGATAACGGGTCGATCTGCCAACGAAACGCTCTGGGGGGGCAAACGGCCCCTTGTTTACGCCTATACGATCATTTCCTGATAACGATGACGCAATAGCCCGCCTCTCCCCNAAGTCTAATCTGACAGGACGGAGACACGCAGCTCTGCTCACCTGCAGCTCCTCCCGCTGTGATGCAGCGGTGAACGGAGCAAAACACACACTTCAAGTCTGACTTGAAGTGTGTGTTTTGCTCCGTTCACCGCTGCATCACAGCGGGAGGAGCTGCAGGTGAGCAGAGCTGCGTGTCTCCGTCCTGTCAGATTAGACTTCACTCGCGTTTATGTCCATATCGAGAGAAAGATAAATAATCTGAATTCAGTGTGCAGTTTACTTTGACGCGGAGGTGAGCAGGAGAGGTGGGGCTATTGCCTCATCATTATCAGAAAAATTATCGTATAGGGCGCACACACGGAGCCGTTGGACCCCCCAGAGCGTTGCGTATGCCGTTCTTTCCACCTTGGGACCCGTTATCGTTTCCGCAGTTGTTTACTGTCATATTCGGTCGTCCTCGTGTGGCCGAACGGTCTATATGACACTAAACAGTAACGCAAACGACCGTTTTCGTCCTCGTGGGGCCGGGGCCTTAGTGTAGGTGCATTGTTGTAATTATGGTGTGTGTAATGTGTATTGTATTGTATTTCCATATTTGAAGTGTATTCTCGTTCTATGATACCGAACTGTGTATATTATAACAACGCTGTAGCCTATATGTAGATGCCGAACTAGGGTTGGAATTAGCTGCAATGGATCTATGTAAAATAGCTTCGTCCCTATCAAACAAAACAGATCCAAATTCAAATTCAAATTAGAGGAATATTGATGGGAGGCTTTTAGGTAGGGGTTTTATTGATTTTACAAGGAAGGACACAACATCTCATGATGACTGTATCCTCATCGCTCTGTTACCTGTTCTCAGGTCCAGTGAACAGATGACCCACAGACACAGCACACAGGGCCGCATAGGCGAAGCGGCCCTGCTCACTCAGCTTTCTGCTGATGATATCCTCTGGCCTGGGGTCACGTGGGGCATCGTGTGTTGCTCCTGCCCTCCCTGGGTCTGAAGTGATAAATGGACAAGGCTTAATTATTAACTTCAAGGTATTAGTTTGATTCACATCCAAGAATGAAACCAAAAACAAGTAAGTGACATATCAAAAACACATGAAGTATAAGTCAAAACCTCAACAAGTATGCTTTTGAGAGTAAACAGACAATGTGTAGGAATATTTGAAATGCTGTTTGGTGGACCACCTGCATGCCGAATTTATCAGAAGACCCCAATGATTGGTGTGAGGGCTTTTGACAGGCAAAATAATATGTTTATGTCACTTTAGCATTTAACTGAACAGTTTAAAAACGTGGTTTGGTTTGGTTTGAAGTTTTGTTAAATTCCTGCGAATAGCTACACGGAACTACAGATTTAGTTTCTGCGACATCGTTTATCTGAGGAAATGGACTGAATTAAACATATAGAGAGTGCGTAGTGTGACCAATATGTTTAAAAAAAATCTTCTTAGATATATTTAAAAAGTAAACCAAAAGTGTAACTTAAACCAGTGTATGTCAACAACACTTGGGTTAGCTGCTAAACACAGCTGGCTGGGAGTGACTGCTGCCTGGGCTGTTAACTTTGGTAGCTAACGGTCCACCGGTAACTTTGATAATGTCGTAAATGTATTAATGTTAGCTACTGTTATTTTGAAAATAACAAATGGATTGTGTTTAGTAGCCTACCTGGAGTAAAATTCTGATCCGTACTGCTCTGTTTTTCCTCCATGGCTACAGATATCTCCACTCTGCACACTAAACTTTCGATGCGTTCATGTGCTCCTCCTGGGCTCTGACAACTGACAAGTACATTTGAAACAGCCTCACAGTCTATAAACTACGTAACTTCCTAAAACTTGTAGCATATATCTCTGTTACCGACCTTCTATAGCATCGTATAAAAAATACAGCGTCCTGTGTTACACCACAAACTGTATTGGGACATTCACATGGCTGTTCACAGATTTATGTTCATAATTTCGAGTGTCCTTGAAGGCATCATTTGTTTGCAACTTTTAAGTGACGCAACGTCCACGTACACTTATAATGGGGCAGGGGTCTGTTCACGACTGCCACGTTTAAAAAGGGTTTTGTCAGAGAAAATGATATTATATTGATGCATTACACCACTTTAAATCAGGAAAATATGCAACGAGAGTCTGCTTTACACAGAACCTACTGTGCATCTACAGACTATGGATGACATGACACACCATCCAACATCAGTGCTAGTACAGCTGATGGCCAGTAGATGTGAGTGTTACATTTATTTTCTCGCTACATTGCCAATGTGCAGTTCTGCCTTCACCACAACCCTGATCATACCAATTATATTGTTGGTCACTTTCATAATAGACTTATACTTTTGTATAATGAAGATTACCCTGAAATGTGGCAGAATTCCCGATTGAGTTGAATAGCAAAGCAGAAATATGCTTTTTTCATGGCCATTACACACATTCTTCAATTTGTCCAGTCATTCCAAGGTCCATGTATGGCTTGTCTGTCTTTTTGCCATCAACAAAATGCTACCCATCAGATGCTCTTGGCAGTAGGCTTACACCAGAATGAGGACGGTTTCCTGCCAACTGGCTTTAATCAAGGACACGGTCATGGATGTACGCTGGAATAATCTTATAAAATGCTGCCATGTGCTAAGAATGCAACAGAACACTGCATTGTTCCATGGTGCGGGGTTAATGTGTGGATTTAAATGTAAGGTCACAAGCATAAAGATAGAAGAGCAAGAGGCAATTTTAATAGACCACTGCTAATGCATTTGGAATGATTGGGAATGAATGTTTAATGCGCAAAGGAGATAAGCCCTATGAATCATATACTAACATGCCCAGTTTACCATGGCTATAGTAGTGGAGGACAGTTACTAAGGACATGTTCTTACGTGCAGTTTTGAGATACTTGCACACCATTTGATTACTTCCATTTCTTTTTGCTTTTTACTTCTACTCCAAAAGGAGGTAGATAAAATAAGATAAGATAAGCTAGACCTTTATTGATCCCTGTAGTGAAATTCAGCTGTCATAGCTGCACAATAAGAATGAAACACAGTACAGAAAAAGAGTTTACACAAGAATTACAAGAACAAAGATAAGAGTACAAATTTAAGTAACAGTATAAATAAGAATAACAAAAATAACGCAATAACGTAGATGAATGTACATGAACACAGATATTGTGCTTTTTTCAACCACATTTATTTGAACACATATTTAACATGATTTTTTTAGTTTAAAACAATGTATGGATCCCTTAGTGAAAATCAAGCTACTTGGAAGCAGATATAGTTAAACAATAAAAAATAATAAAAATGTTTACCACCTGCAATATATTTTTAATGAACAATTCAATGATTCTCTCTTCTAAACCATCAACGTGTATCTTAGACCCGATTCCAACTAAGCTGTTAAAAGAAGTTTTTCCATTAATTAGCACTTCTTTATTAAATATTATGAATATGTCTTTATTATCAGGCTATGTTCCACAATCATTCAAAGTAGCAGTGATAAAACCGCTTCTTAAAAAGCACAACCTCGATCCAGAGGTTTTAGCCAACTATAGACCTATTTCTAATCTTCCGTTCCTCTCAAAAATTCTTGAGAAAGCAGTCGCAAAGCAGCTGTGTGATTACTTAAAAAACTATGATTTATTTGAAGATTTTCAGTCTGGCTTTAGAACACAACATAGCACAGAGACAGCTCTGGTTAAATTCACAAATGACATTCTAATAGCCTCAGACAAGGGACTTGTCTCTATTCTTGTCTTGCTCGATCTTAGTGCTGCATTTGATACTATCGACCATGATATCCTATTGCAAAGACTAGAGCACTTAGTTGGCATACAGGGAACTGCTTTAGGCTGGTTTAGGTCCTATCTATCTGAACGCTCTCAGTTTGTACGTGTCAACGATGAATCTTCCACGCAAACCAAAGTTAGCCATGGAGTGCCACAGGGCTCAGTGCTCGGACCTGTTTTGTTCACATTATATATGCTTCCGTTAGGCAATATTATAAGGAATCATTCTGTAAACTTTCATTGTTATGCGGATGATACTCAACTATATTTATCAATCAAGCCTGATGAAATTAATCAT